GTGCGCGGTGCCGGCGCTGGGAAGGCCCGGGGCAGACCCCCGCCTGGGGTGGGGGCCGAGCTGCGACCCCGACGTGCGAGCCAGCCTGAGGCGGGCTGCCCCGGCTCCGTACCCGAGCTGATGGAGCCTTTACTGGGGTCTTGCTCCGCAGGCCCCTCTTCCTCCTCCTCCTCCTCCTCCTCCGGCAGCGCGCAGCGGGCTCTGCCCTGCTCCCGGGCGGGGCGGCGGGGGCCGGGCTGCAGGATGCTGTCGATGCTGAAGGCCGGCGGCGCGGCGGGGACCGGCGGTGGGGAGGAGGGGTCGGGGCGGCGGAGGGAGGGGATGGAGCTAGAGGGAGCCAAAGCACTGAGGACGGGGGGAGCGGTGCAGGGGAGGCAGAGAGATGGTGGGGAAGAGAGGGAGAGAAAGAGGAAAAGGAGGAAAAGGAGCAGGAACCGGAGGGAAGCGGGGAGGAAGGGGTGGGGGGTCCCCCTTTCCTCCCAGCCGGTGAGGTGTCCTGGGCCTCCTGCCCAGGCCCTTCACTGCTAGGGGGGAGAGTCAGAGCCAGGCCAAAAAAGCCCACGGGAAAGGCAAAGAGGAGGTGGGATGGCAGGAGGGAGATCTCTGGAATGAAGGAGAAGGATGGAAGGAGAGGATTGGAAATGAGAGCACGGGAACGGGGCGGAGTGCGACAAAGAAAGGTGGCAGTGGGAGAGGGCAGGGGGGAAAGGGGGAGCTGGCAGCCGTCAAAACCCTTCCGTGTGTGTGTGTGTACAGCACCTGGCACCACCCCAGAGAGTCTGCTGAGGGCATTTGCTGCAGATTATCCGTGCCGCTGTGAGGGGATGGGGGCCCTGGGGAAGAGTAATTCCTAAGTCCCTTCCTTCTCTGGAGTCCTTCCACCTGCAAACCCCCAGGCAGAGTATGCAGGGTTCCCCTGGGGAGAAAGGGAGCCTCTTTCCTCCCGAGGAGACCCGTGGGGCCAGTCCACCCCAAAATCCACTCCCCTCTTCTTCCGCGGTTCTGCAGAGTTCTTCTGTAGTTTTCAAGAGCTAAAAGTTGTAAGAGATCCTGCTCTTGGTGAGGGAATGGTGAGAAAGTGCTGGCCGGGGTGAGCGTGTGTGTGAGTGTATCCAAAGTGTGCCTTTTGGAGGATGGAGAAGCCCTCGCCTCTGCTGTGGGAGATGTTGTGGGGCTTGGGGAAGGATGGATGTGTTTCTGTATTATCTGGAGAACTTCTGCTCCCCACCACCTGCCAGCACTGCAACGTTTTAAAAACTCTTCCCGCTCCTCAAGGCAGGGGGTCCAACTTTCGTTAGAGTCGCCATCAGGTGTGGATGGCCGGGAACTTTCTCCTTCCCTGCGCCCCGGTGTAAAGCCTGGGAAATACTCCCAACCGGCTTTTAAGAGGCCTTTTATTCCGAATGTCGAGGTTTCCACCACGAAAACTGTTCAGGGCACGCGAGAAGCCCTTGAAAAAAAGAGTTGACAATAGAAGCGCTGACAGGCTCTTAAATATTGTGATGCCAGAGATTCCGTGAGCTAAAACAGGGCATCTTAAGGCTTTGGATTGAGTTAATCTTTAACGTACTGGTACTTGAGAGAGCGAGTTTCTACTCTTTTTCATGAAAATTTGTTTCCCTTTATAAATACACTCAGATTTTAACGCAGCCGTCTACTGGAGAGCTGTGCATTTTCCTCTAGGCGAAAAAAAAAAATATATATATATCCGTCTTCCATCAACACGATTATTGGCCAAATGCCTAAACTTGTTGCATTTGTCTTGAAATCTCCAGTACAAGCTGGTGGTTCTGGCGGAGCTAAATGTCCCCTTAAAAGAGAGAGAGAGAGGCCGAGGGAAGGGATGGGGAACAGTGGTACAAAATGAGAAGAAGCAGCTGAAAAGATAAATTAAGAAATCCCGTGTGAGCTGGTAAAACTTGGAGCACGGGGACTTTGATATGAGGTCAGGTCGGTGTTTTCCCCTGCTCTCCTGTCCCGGCCTCCCTCTGTGAGAAAGGCACGTCCCAGGTGCTCACTTCTTGCTGCAAACCCTACCCCTTTCAGTCCCCCCCAAAATCCATCTTAAAAAGCAAAAGCATTGACTCTGTGTGTTTTCCTAGAAGACATTTTCTTGGAAGACAAAGGAAAACTTGAAGAAGGCAGAAAATAAGAAGGAAACTGAAGAAGGAGACATACCCTATTTTTTCACCGCGGCCCCCTCCGCCCGCCGAGCAGTCCCAGCCCAGCCTTGGGAGACCCGGCCCGGCAACTCCCCCCGGGAAATGTCTGTTCTCCTTTCCCAGCCCCATTTGGCCGCTTTACAAAAACGATTTTTTCCCCTGACAAACTCTGTGCAGTGAGGGAGCACACCACAGTGCCAGATCTCCCCAGCCGCTGGGGCAGGTCGGAATCAATTCACTAGCAACAAGAGGATGGGGGGCCCCCTCCGCCCCCCCCCTGCAGCGAATCCTACAAGCCAGATCCGTACCGAGCTCCTCATGCCTTCTGCTAGGGTCCTCCTTATCTTCAGGTGAGGAGAGTAAGGACTTTTGGCTCAGGATGCCAACAGGTAGAGCCGTATCCTGCAAAACCACCTGCAAAGTGCACCCCCTCCACGGAGGGAGCGCTTTGCAGCGGAGCCTCCGCGGGGGAGGGCGGCGGAGCCCCCCAGGAGCAGCTCCGGGCCCCTATAGAGGGGTCTCTCCCCCCCGACCTCCCCGAGCCCAGGCCGGCCTGCGTTTGGCCCCAAACTGCCGGGGGTGGGAGGAGGGAAGAGCGGTGCCCGACGGGGCTTCGGGGCGAGAGATCTTGCCAAAAGTCAGAGGATTTTCCGAGTGAGTGGGTCCCGGGGCGTGGGGAGGGCAGCCCCCGGGCAGAGGCTGGGCTGGGGGCGG